CTTCCTCCCCTAAGCCACTTCACAGGTATTCCAGTACAGAAAAAGAGGAGATAGACAGAAGGAGGAAGAGGAGACAGATCATCATCACTTATTCAAGGTAGACAACTTTTCAATTTCTGGTTCAGAAAGCACCCTAATGAATAGAGAAAGCAGGGGTACAGGAAGCCATCTGGACCATGGAGAATTAAAGGGTGCCTGTTCCCATGACTAAGCAGAAATTGGTGCAAAATCTGATAGGCATTTTGCCCTGGCAGAAAATACTTCAAGCTTTAAAAAAATCAGGGAAATGACAAACAACCCCCCCTCCCAAATTCAGCAGTAGCAACAGGCTATAGTTGTTAGCCATTGAGACTAAGTCCTTGAAAAAAATGCTTTTAGGTCAAGGGACTCCTGCTCTGGAAAACACAGTGCATTTAGGATAAGGCTCATAAACTGCAGTACATTCTGCCTTCACTGTCACACCATTATGAAATAATGGCAGTGGTACTGGGAGTCCTTTGTATAGTAGAAGTCTGCTTTGAAATCACTGGTTATGTTCATCTAACTTTTCACAGAATTCTCTGAAGACTCCCATTTATAAATTCTTACAACTTTGCTTTTACAGCAAAGCTGCGGGCACCAACTGTTTGCCTGTAGCAATGTAACAGCTTTCTAAGTCGAATCCCTTCCCTTTTTTCTGCAAGAAATCATGTGTTAATCTTTCTAACAGTAAGAAATATCCTCATCCAAGGTTGCCTTTGAAAATGGTCCATCAAGAAAAGAGTTAATCTAAGGGAACTACTCTCTTCTGTCTTTAGAAAGACTACTGCAGGCCTTTTATTTCAGGTCCCATTCTATTGTCTCTGCTCCAAGGCTAGAGATGGGATAATAAGGATGTCCTTTGGCTGTGGTTGAAACCTCTGATTTAATTTCTAGAACAATTGAGACTTCTATGCTTTCTGTTCTTCACATCCTTGGAATCCTGAATCAAAATTAAATATCTTTTAAAGTGAATTTTTTAAACATCTGTCACTGAACAGAGCACACATTTTGATTATGCGCCGTGTTGGAGATGTGCTAAGATTTTGCTGTATTTCTTCCTCCTCTTCCCTCATGGTTCCCTTTTTACTAGAGCTTCTCCTGAATTTGATCTTTTACTTGTGTTCTGCTGTAAGACTGTGCTGTTGCACATCAGAACCTTTGGAGGAAAGGCTACTTAATATTGCCTTCAAAGAGCACTTATATACAGCTTCTAGAAGGGACTGTGTAAATGTATAACGCAAAATGTATTTAGTATCTTTTTCTTTGGTATTGCAAACTGAAGTCTGTTCAATGTCACTAGTGTCCTTTTTCAGCTGAGGCCTTCTCAGGACAGTAGAGCACTGATGATTTCTTCCAAGATAAATTTGCCTTTCCTGGTCTTTCTCTCTCCATATTGGTACAGGGAACATTCAGTTTCACTTTTTTCTCTGCAGTGGCAGAGAATTTGAATGGCTTGGAAGCTGTGGTAGAACACTTGAAGTCTAGCTGGCCACACTCGTTCAAGGCAATGAAGTCTCATTAATGAGCACACCCCATACATAGGAGATGAAATATAGTTGGCTGCAGCATTTTCATTCTTACCCCTTTGTACAACTCATCAACAATAGTGTTTGGCTTTGGTGGAGGAATTTGCATTCAAAACTTACTGCAGCGTCTTCAGTATTGTCTAGGGCTCAGAAGTGTGATTGTGTTGGTGACTGAGTTACCTTGTGTCAGCTGAATCACGATACTTGCCTATGCTTGTGTCCGTAGCCTGTGCCAAACATGACGTAACACTTTCAATTAAGCCTTGTCAGGACAACTTGAAGTTCATGAAGTTCATGCATTTTACCATGTGTTATCATGGCCTGATAGGAGCTTCTCCAATTTACTGTAGCTCAGCTGACGCTTGGTAAATTCCATCATGTGTCTGAGAACACAAGAGAATGGTTAAAAAAAGACATAATTTTCATTTTAATTGTCAGTCTTTATGTAGCCCTTGTTTTCAACTTAGTTAGTTTTGGTGCTAGATGTTTCTATCTGGTTATTTTCAACCCTCAGGAAGAACCTAAGAAAGTTCGATTTGACTATGACTTATTCCTGCACCTTGAAGGCCACCCACCTGTAAATCACCTCCGCTGTGAAAAGCTCACATTCAACAACCCGACAGAAGAATTCAGAAGAAAGCTGCTAAAGGCAGGAGGGGTGAGTCCTGCACCCATGTCAAAAGCCATCACAATAAAGATGTTGCTGCTTATTGCTGGTGCATGATTGGCATAGTAGAGATTGACCTGACATTGGAAACAAAGTGAAGTGTTTTTGTCATTAACTTTGTGTAAGAGCTCAGTGTTTGTTGTCTTTTAAGTGGAACGGGTGAGCAAATGAGCATGTGCCTACCTTAAATAGATGATTAGATATCTGTCTTTACAACCAAGCGATTCACGTTTACTTCTGTGAAAGCAGAACTTAGACCTTATACATGCAACATTGCTTGCTTGACTTTCCAGAGATAAAATACAGCAGGGCTACTATGATGGGAGGAAGTAATAAGAAAAGGTGTCTCATTTAAAGATAAATGGTTCTATTTTAAGCAGAATGAATTCAGTAGTTATAAGGTAGAGTAAGTTAGAAATTGTAAGTATAAATAAACCTACCTAAATTTTATATAGTACATGTTACACAGTCCAAACCAGAAAATTTACCGAGACTTCTTTACACGTTGGTAGAATTAATTGATATGAAAAGGCCCAAAAGAGGTTTGTCCATTTGGAGGAAGGAGCGGGCCAAACCTTTAGGTTTACACTTTGTCCGTTGGTGGAAACCATTCTGCTGTGTTTCACACCACAGCAGAATCATTTCTGCTGGCAGGGACCACCAGAGGCTCAGCCATGGAGTCAGACCAGGCTGCTCAGGACTTCCCCTCTCCTTACTGGGGTGTGAAACCTGCCCTGGCCAAAGGTGGCCCAACCTTCCCGGGTCCCAGCTCCACTGCTGGGCTGTCTTCATGAGGAAAAGGCTTCTCCTTATTTCCAGCCTGAACATCTTGTGTGTCAGCTTGTGCTGCTGCCTCTTGCCATCCTGCCACACATCACTTGTGTAGAGCCTGACTGTCTCCTCTGTTCCCTCCCATCAGTGCCAGGGATGCTGTTGGGTGTCCTCAAAGCTGTCTCTCCTCCCAGCTGAACTAGTCCTGGTCCTGCAGCCTCTACTTGCAGGGCAAGGGCTCCAGCCCCACAGCCTCAGTGGCCTCCCCTCACCTTCTACTGTTTTGTTGGCTGGTGCTGGGGACCCAAACTGGAGGCAGTAACCAGGTGAGGTCTGACAAGAACCAAGCAGAGGCTACGATCCCTGCCCTCCGCTGGCTCTCAGGGCTGTGACCTGCTCACGAGACTCTAGGCAGCGCTGGCCCTTGCTGCTGCCCAGGCACACGGGTGGCCCTGGCTCTGCTCGCTGCCCTCCAATGCCCAGGGCCAGCCTCCCAGTGTTGTTCCCAGCCCTAGCCTCATGGCTGCAGGGCTCTGCCTTTCTATGAATGGGGCTTGGCATTTGGCATTTGTCCTGAGTATTTCATGAGATTGCTGTTAACCTCTTCCTCCAGACTGCCTGGGTCCCTCCTGCTGGCAGCACTGCTCTTGAGTGTCCCTTCCCCAGTTGGTTGTCATCTACAAACCTCATGAATAAAGAGTGCGTTTTGTCTCCTCTTCCAGGTCACTGATACATACGTTAAGAAAGCCTTCATACTGTGGGTTTACTAATGTAAATGCTGATGCTTATCTTTGTACTTTTGAACAGATATAACAAAAATGGGTAGCCCTATTTGGCACAATCAGACACTAGTAGGTTCTGGGCTGGAGATAAGAGGGACCTAGTGTGAGACTATTCAGTCTGCTAAAGAGGATCTTTGAAAACAAAGTAAAAACAAGTAGTGGGTATAATCTGAAAGACCTTGTTATCCTCCTGGAGAACTGTTACAACTACAGTTGTGTTGAAATAGAAGTATGAGCTGTGTTTTGTGTTTGCATTTATTAGGTGCAAGAGGGTATCCATGTCTGGACAATGTGTTGGCTCTTTAGTGTGTTTGCAAATAAAACATCAAGATTGTATTCTGGAAAACTTCATGAGCCACTGCTTTAATATTAATCGTATCAGGTCAGTTGTCAATGGACAAGTTTTACCCACAAGTGTAGTAAATCTAAATGATGCCAGCAGGGACTTTGGGGGGGTGGTCAGGGTGGTTAAAAAGGTAAGGATAGGAAGTGTCCCTTTTATTGCTCATTTTCTGTGCCTAATTTTAGGTTTCTTGAATTAACAAAAGCAAAAATGTTGCCTAATTGTAAACTATGGAATGTGGGGTGTTTTGATTAAGTTCTTCCCTTGAATATATCAGTGTGGTCATTCTTAAAATGCTTTGCATCATTGCCCTTTGTCTTCTACAGGCCACAAACTGCTTGCTTTTTTTCTTTCTTCTTCTCTTCCATTTTTCCAATTTACTTCTAAGAAATGGGTCATGTTTCCCCCCTCCCCCTCCGTTTTTTTTTTTTTGAAGCTGTGTTTCATGCTTCCCTCTGTAGGTTGTCTGACCTAGGAATTTGTCTGATAGACTTGGCAGAGATGATGTAACAGCATTCTGTCTATCTCATTACTAAAAGTCTCCTTGAAGGTCTTAAATCTCCCTATATTGAAAGGCTCGTTACACTCTCATGAAATGCTGTACAGAGGCTTTCCTTTGACTGGTGTAGAAGCCCTGGAAAGCTGGCTCTCACTTCCAAGTGTGAGTAGACAACTGATTGAATTCATGAAACATTAACTCAGTTGTAACTTTCATGTTTTAGTCTGAGAAAAGCATTTACAGATGATAAAGTATGAGATGGGTTTTGCACTTACTTTGTAAGTTGAAACAATACTTCTAGTTTATGGCTGTTATCAAGAAAAAGTAAAAGTAACAAGTCACTGAAACTTGACTGAAACGAGTCAAGCAAAATGGAGTTAATGTCCTTAAAAATGAATGAGATACAATATTAATGTAACATGCTTTAAGAAAAGCACTCTGAGATGGCAGACTTCTGCTTACATGTTTTTAAATAACAGTATAAATCACTGGATTTCTGTGCATCTTGAAACCCAGGTCTCATTAGCTTTTCTCCAAGCAGAAGTCATGGATTGTGGTGTTCCACTGACGTAAACTACTAAACACGATTCCTTATTTCTCATTTGCATAAACATATGTATGTTGTAAATAGTATGTCCTTCTGAAGGGAAGAGTGCAGGCTCACCTGGCACATGCATGCTGCCATATTTGGTAGAGACTTGTGTGTCTCTTGCTGCAGATTACTTGAATTATTGCTTGGATGCTCATAACTCCCCTTTACCCTCACATATACATCTTGTGGCATCCCAAATGCGAACTACTCAGGGATACTTGCTACAGCCAGTGTTCTTTTGTCTCTCAGGCTAAGAACCCTTTTGTTTTTTTGTTTTAAAATGAAGTGCTGCCAGTCTGCTGGTACATTCTCATGGTTACCCTTTCCCATATGCATCCCATCCTTCATGCACCCAAAGGTCTGACTGGTTATCCTGCAGTTCACTGGGAGAGAATAAAAGTAATGTTCAGATATCCCGAGAAATTAAATGAGTAAGAACAAGACTGTAGCACAGCTTTGCAGTGCCACTGAGGCTGCTTTAATTAAGGCAAACAGGACATCGAGGGTGGTGCCAGTCATGTAGATTAACTCTGTAGAATATTTCTATCTCAGCATTTTATTTGATACCACCAGAATTGAAGCATAAATGTGCAGTCAGTCACTATTAGTAGGAGAACATCAACTTGGTGATTTCTCTTCCAATATGAGAATTACTTTTTCAACCCTTACAAGAAAAAGGATTTGGCTTAGCTGCAGAGACTGTATTTCTGTAGCCAGGAATGTAAATAGGAACCTTTGGTTCAATCTTACAAAGGCCATATCCAATTTGCAAAGTTCTTTGTCAAAGTTTTCCACCTTCAGAAACATATTTTCTACATTGAACTTCTCCCCATCCCTGAAAAAGATTTAGTTATGCTCAAGTCCATCTCTACCATTTCCCTACTTTCAGTTGAAATGTTTATGGAGGAAATAAAGTATTTTCAAGAGTATGGTGGGTAAATTCAATCAAACTATTCAGAATAATTGTTCCATCTCTTTGCATGTATGTTCTAAATGACACTTCTTTTCTAAAAGTTTGCTGTGGAAATGATGACACTGAGATTTTTTTGCACCATTTAGTCACTGTAGTACGTAATGATGCAAAGCTAGCATGTATACAGGTATGTGAATTAGCAGTGTATACCATAATCCAACCTGTTGCTTGAAGTCCCCAAAGACACCCTGTATACACATGATGACTTTTAGTCCATTTCTTACCAAGCAGATCGTCAGGCTATTGGTAGTGACAGAACTACATACATGTAGTCTCCTACAGAGCTCCTACAGTATAGATGTAGTCTCCTACAGAGCTCATAATCTAGACACAGCACGAAATAACATGAGCAGGTACAGTAGGATTGAAGTTTACACCAGTAAGCATTGATCCTTAGATGGTCATTCCTTCCTAAATTTGTCAGTTACCTTTTCTGATTAGTTTAAGCCTCTAATCATGAAAGAGCCTGAGGGAAAAGAGGCAGCACTGTGATTCCTATGTATGGATGTGGGAAGAAGGATGAAACTGACTGGGAAATTATAGTCATTAGAAAATAATCTTCAAATTTTGAAGTAGACTTTTGAATGTTGAATCCCTCTAAAACCATGTATAAGCAGGATCCAATTCCACTGATGTAGTTTGTGTTGTTAGTAGTGCTGGTTCTATTGCTATTTTTGGCTTTCATGTTTCTCAGTTTTAAAGAAAAAAAATGAAAATTACACCTAATCTGCTTATTGAGCCAGTAGAAATAAATTCATTTTGAAGATGCTGAATGACAGCTACCTAACAGTTAAATTGAATTTTGCCTCTGGAAACAGACTTGCTCAGACATCACTTGTTGAATATGATATTATGAACAACTTAATTTTGATTCTTGCAGGAAAAAGTAGTGAAAATAGTTTTCAGTCCCCACTAAGACAGCAATTTAGTACAGCCCTCTCTCCTGTAGCTGCAAATATATAAATAAAAACATTTGTACTGTGTAATATTCTCACCTTTTTGGAGGGAGACCCAAAATTAGATGAATAATC